AAGCGAAGTCCTCCACACCTAGACTGAAGAACAAAAGGACAGCAACTTGTCTGTTGCCCTTCCCCTATTCCCCAACGCTGTTCCCTCCCCCCAATTCCCCAATAAAATCTTTTAAAAAAAATTTAAATATCTATAGTGCAAAAAAATACCATAAAGAAATAAACATGTGATAAAGCAAGTAGAGTAAAATGTTAATAGTAGAATCTAGTGGATGGGTATAGAGGTGTTCACTGTAAAATTGTTTTGACTTTGTTGTATGATTGAAATTTCATAATAAAACATTGGAAAAACCAGAAAGCTAAAAGATAATTAACAAATGAAAAAAATAAAATGTTTGCAGACATTTTGGTTAGTTTCTAAATTTTCATAGTTGTTTGTTCATTCATTTATTCATTCAATAAATAGTAAGGTAACAATTGCAATGTCCTGGGCACTGTTCTAGGTGCTGGGGATATTGCTGTGAATGAAATGAAGTCCCTGTCCGTATTAGCTCGGCTTGGAACCCAAACTGTTTCCTTATGATAAATGCCTCAACAAGATTCATATGCCTCAAGCAGTGCTCATATGAGTACTGCTTTTTGATATGAGCAATGTTTTTTCATGTTTGCTTACTATGGGTATCCCTCAATATTTGAACTCTAGTCATCAGAATTTCAGAACGGAACAGATTTAAATAATGGTCAGAGGAAATCCTGAACTCTCTGACACTCAGCATCTAAACCAAATAAATTTGGATACTGAACTCTTGCTATCTAAACTCAGGAAGGGAACATATTTAAGATAGTACAGGATACATCCTTTTTACTAGCCACAGAGCGCTTTGACTAAACACCTTGCAAAGGCAGACCCTGTCCATAATACATTTCTAGGAAGCTAGACTAAATCATAATATATGAGGACCTCCACAAAATGAATATACTTCTAAACCCGTAAAATGCCAAAATTGGCAGAAGTAGACAAAATGATAATAAAAAACTCAGGCCCTTTAAAAGGTGAGTTTAACCAAGTTTTCAAAGGACAGATAATTCTTATACAAGTTTCTCCAAAAAAGAGAAAAAGTGGCCCAATTCATGTCATGAGGCTGCCTTGATTCAATGCCAGATAAATAGAAAACGAAATTATAGGACCACTTCATTAATGGAAATGGATGCAAATATCCTAAATAATACAGTATCTGATCAAATATAAGTGTTTTAAAAATATACATGCTATATACCTGCTCCCTTTCTATCTCTGAATCTCTCGTGCATGTGGGGTCTCTGACTCTCTCAGGTATGCAGGGTTCCCATACATATGTATATATTAAATTTGGTTATTTTCTCTTGCTAAAATACACACACACACACAACACTGCTTAATTTTTCTGCCAAAAATTCATGAGTAAACATTAAAAAAACACAAATTGAGAAACATCTACAAAGCAACTGACCTGTACTCTTAAAACATATCAAGGTCATACAAGACAAGAAAAGATTAAATAACTGTTCCAGATTAAAGGAGACTAAAAGTACAGAGTAGCTCAATGCAATGTGTGATCTTGGATTGGATCTGGACTAGGGAAAAATAGCTATAAAGGACATTATTGGAGGGCCAGCTGAGTGGCTCAGTTGGTTAAGAGCTCGCTCAAGAGTGTGAGCTCTGAGCAACTAGCGGTTCGATTCCCAGCCTGAGCTGAGCTGCCAACAAGTAGCAGGATGGCTCAGCTAAAAAAAACAACAACAAAAAACAGGACATTATTGGGACAACTGATGACATCTGAATATGACTGTATATAAGACAAAATATTATATCAATGTTAACTTTCCTGATATTGATAAGCGTACTGTGGTCCTAGTTCTTAAAGAATATACATGCTGTAGTACTTAAGGGTAATGTCTGCCATTAACTGAAATGACTGAGGGGGGGAAATGTTATATGTGGGAGGGAGGAGGAGTGGAGAGAGAGGGGGAAGAGGAAGGGTGAGGGGGAAAGGGAAAGGGAGAGGGAGAGGAGGACGGAAGTAGGTGGGTAGGTTAGGTTAAGCAAATGTGGCAAAATGTTTACAATTAGTGGTTCTGCGTAGTGGATAAATGGGAGTTCATTGTACTTGCATCTTTTCTGTAAATTTGAAACTTATTTCAAAATAAGAAGCCATAAACATATATGTGTGTGTGTGTGTGTGTGTGTGTGTATGTGTGTGTATGTACACACACATACACACACACATACCCTGTGATCAAGGAGGGTATGTCTCAAGAATGCCAAGAATATAATTTAATGCAATTTATTAAATTAATGGACAAAAGGAGAAAAAAAGCATGTAATTATGATATTCAATACTCATTTATGATGAATCTTAGTAAACTAAGATTAGAGAATTTTCTTTATTTACTAAAGTCTACTTTCTAAAAGCCTACAGCGTACGTCATACTTGATGGCTAAGCAGGAGGGGCTACCTATCAGGCCTGGACTGACTGCCTACCTACAGGTATCCTTTATGGGAAACAAAATAAATTACATTGTTGAAGCCATTATTCTTTGAATTTTCTATTACAACCTGCCAAAACATACCTTAATTGGTACATCCAGCATCTCTGATACTATTTAACATTGTATCAAAAGTCCTGGACAATGCTACAAGTGAGGAAAAAGAAATGAGAAGTGACAGGATTGATTTGCATGCCATATGACTAAATACTTAGAAAAATCATCAGAATCAACAATGAATGATTAGAAATAACAAGAGAGTACAGCAGGGAAAAGATAACTTATAAAATTTAAGAGCTTTCCTCTACCCCAACAAGCAATAGCTTGGAAAATAAGATGTCAATGAAAAGTACTGAAGTACCTATGAATTACTTTAACAAAGAATATGCAAGACCTGTATTTTTGTTTATTCATATTTTTATGTCATTTAAATGAATTTAAAAATATTATCCATACAAGTCTTGGATGAAATGAGACCACTTACAAAGATGACAATGCTCCACAAATTCATAAATAAATTCAATGCAATCTCAATAAAAATGCCTGAATGTTTATGAGGGACTGGATAAACTTTTTATATGAAGCTCCACCAATGGCTAACTCGACTTTGAAAAATAAGAGCAAAGTGGGAACAATTAAGACATCCTGTTAAGTAATAATAATAAAAACACTAAGGTTCTGGCACAAGAAAGCGCAAACAGACCAATGAAACAAATGAGATCACTTAAGACAGATCCATGTACACTCAAGACAGAGCCATGTACATGAGGGAACTTAAAATGAGATGAGGTACCATAAATCAGTAAAGAAGGATGGACTATTTAGGAGATGATTCTGGGAAAATGCCCACTATATGGAGGAAAATAAAACCAGAATCTACCTTGTACCATATTCCAAAGTGGACTCTAGATGGATTTAAAGACCTGAATGAGAAAGGTAAAACAGCAGAGTGAAAACAATCCTTGTGATCCAGAGGTAGGAACAGAGATAATTCTGAAAGCACAGATAATAAGACAAAAAAGTGATGAATTTTAGTACACCCAAATTAAGAACAAGTATCCATCCTTAGGAGAATTGTTAAGTAAAAGGCAATAGGCACACCCCATGGTGTCCTTGGGACCAATTAGAAGCAAAGCACTAATATGCACGGCAATACAGACAGATCTTAAAAATGCAGGGCTGAGTAATACAAGTTCAAGAAACAGAATGAAGACTGTAGCACTCTGCCGTTTGTGTAAAATGAAAACACAGATGCTCAAAACAACACTACATATTTTAGAAGGATACATTTCAAATGACAGAAAAGCTGCCTACAGCTATGGGAATTGGGAATAAATAAGAAAAGAATAAATATGGCAAGAGAAGGCCTTTATACTGACCTATGATGGAAACCTACCGTGAACTGGAAAAGTATGATTAACTCAAACCTCTGCACTTGAGGTTCTTTAAAAGCCAAAAGAAAACCAGTGGCATTATTTGATAATAAAGCTTGAAGCAAGTATGTCACTTACTCAAACTCAGAAACTGCCACAGAGTACTTCTAGTGAATGCCATCCAAAACTGAATGCCTTTCAAAAGACATTTTTAAAGAAGGTCAAGACTGAATAACACTAGATTATAACCACATCTCAAATTTGGGCTCACTTTTCGGAAAACAAAGTGTTATAATTCTACATTTTAAAAAGGGCCTGGTGGGGCGGCCAGTTGGTTCAGTTGGTTAGCGGGCAGTGCTCATAGCACCAAGGTTACCGGTTCGATCCCCATATGGGTCACTGAGTCATGCCCTTCACAACTAGATTGAAACAACTACTTGACTTGGAGCTGATGGGTCCTGGAAAAACACACTGTTCCCCAATAAAAAAAATTAAAATATAAGAAAAATAAATAAATAAAAAGGGCCTGGTAGTAGAAGAAACCCTTTGTAAGACATTAAAAAAATTATTTCCTCCCTGACTTTTAAAAAATCCACTGACTCTTAATAGAGGCTTTCTGGGAGAGTTAGGTCTACTTTCCTATGCAATCCTAAAATGTTAGGAACAGATCACTAGCATTAGAATCAACTGGGGTGATCCACCAGGATGGTGAGAGTATCGTCTGGAATCTCTGTATTTTATCAAGTGTCCCAACTATTTCTTGTTTGACCAGAGTTTAAAAATAACTGTACAAGAGTGTCCCATTCCAAGACAAGTATCACGCCAACTTTAGCCTATCCTGCCCCTGAAATCTCCCACTATCTGACCTGGCTTGCTTCATACTTGTCCTGGCAAATTCCTAACTCTGAAGGTACCACTCCCATCCATCCCTTAAACCCAAAGCACACCTCTGTCCTGAGAACCCACAGGTACCTACAACCCCCTACCCATCTCTGCCTCTCCTCTTGCAGTAGCTGTCCAGACCTTGGTGAATGGCACCATATACCTATCTGGGTCACCCAAAGTGGAAACCTGGGCATCAGCCTCTATTCCCCCGCTTCTCTTAATCCCTTCCCACCCTCACATCCAACCATGGGACCCATCCAGTTGTTTTGGAATCACCTGTAAACTGTGTGTTCTCCCTGGTGAGACCCTGAGTAAGGAGAAGGCTGCAATCTTATCTGTCTCATTCACCACGGTACTTTCAGGGCCTAGTACACAGGTCCTGGCTCACAACAGGTGCCAAGTAATTGTCTGCTGAAAAGAAACCAATCATCTACTGCGCTGTTTCCTCTGCCTGGAAGCCGCCTCATAGCACCTTCCTGGATCAGTTCTCACATAGGGACAAGCCTAGGCTGTTTGATGGGGGTGGGAGTGGGTAACTCACCGTCTTTCATACTCCATATCCTGATAGGGCCTTCGGGGGCTACTTGGGCCCCTCCTCAGCCGCTGGCTCCGTTTTACTTCCCAGCCACCCCCACTGCTGCCACCATGATCTGCCAGCCTGGGTGATGCCTCCTGCAGCGACTCTGGGGAGAGAGGAAGGAAAAAAGGGGTCAAGGCAGTTGGGGCAGAAAGGGCCTCTTTGAAAAACCCTTGTTGTCAAGGCTCTCTGGTGTCCCTTAGCCTGGGGATGTTGTTTCTGAACTCCTGGTGCTCCTGAGGACCAGAGCGGGAAGGCGGATGCACTACCCGCCCCCCCTCCCCCACCACTTGGCCAGATCCTTTCCTTTCCACACAAATGTGAGATTAGAGTCCACTGCCCTAGAAAGAGCAAGGCTTCAGCAGACAGGGAACATCTTGCAGAGAGAACTGGTGGTGCCACCCATTCTGTGATCAGGGCGTTGCCATCTGAAACAGGTAGACAAGTTCAAGCCTGGAGCTACCTGCCTGGGGGTGGGGGGTGGGGGTGGGTGCTCTTAGTGCGGAATGACTTGTTTCAGATTGGGCAGATTAGGCATTGAGGAAAGACTTCACAAAAGGAGTCCCAGGCACCCACCAGTCTCCTTCCATGGGCCCCCAGGTGAGATTTCATCCTCCCAACAAGATGCTGGCTGCCCCCTATAAGACAGCAGGAGACCATGAAAGGCTTAGGGGGTGAAGGGGCTAACTTGGTAATGAGACAGCTGCCGCCTCCCTGGGCTCCTGGCCAACACAGCTTTGGGCCTCACGCAGCAATTGGCTCAGCCCTGAACCCTGTCTCTTATGAGCAGCCAGGTCCCAAGGCAGCTCTCTCCCCAGGGTAAAAAGGGCCCTTTCGGAGGCTGTTCCAAACCACTGTCCTATTCTATTGGGATGGAAGGGCAGTCATTTCACCCAACCCTCGGGGCTACCATGAGAACTAAGGAATTCCCAAGCCACATGACTTGGCCAGGGGTCACCACACAGTATCCCAGAATCTTCAGGTCCTGCCCTCTGAACAGGAATAAGGCAAAGGTAGGTGATAACAGCACCTGCCCAACATGAGGTTGCCACCACACCTTTCCTCCGTGTCTACACACACACCAATTTAATCTTCCTCCTCATGCTACAGGGAACCAGAGTTACCTGCTCCCAGATGGGTAAGAGTTAGAACCACAATCAGGAGCCCAAGTAGATAACAGCTGATACAAAACCCTCAGTAGGCTCTGGCAAAGGGGCCAGAGTCACGCATTGGTATCCACAACAGATAGGGACTGGGTCACAGACACGCGCCCCAAATAACTATGGGCCAAAATCACAGACAGGAACCCACAATAAATACGGGTCATAAGCATGCACTGAAGCCCCTTTTCAATCGATGAACATCAGAGTCAGAGAGAAACCCCCTTCCTAAAGAACAAGCAATAAGTCACACACATTCCTGGTATTCCCTCCCTACCTAGTTAAGTCGGTTGGGGCCAGTCGCAAGAAGACTCCCTATGGATAAGGACCAGAGTTAGACACACTGCAAGAATAAAAGCCAGGGTCATATAAAGACGTTATTACTCCTCCCCATCCCAAGACTAAGGACCCGAGCCACAGAACACGTCCCCATGGACAGATAAGTAACAAAGTCACACAGAACAGACAGCACACCCCGTCTTGTGGATAAAAACCAAAGTCGCTGACACTCGCCTCCCCACAAATAAAATTCGGTGTCTCAGACACAGTAAGCCACAGTATCCCACTCCCATCCGTCCCTCCCTTCCCCCAACCCGCGTGCACCTATCCAGTGTCCTGATCGCGCACGCGCCACGGCTCTCAAAGGGGTGCAATTTTTTTAAAAAAAGACAGCTCATCCCAGGCTCAGACAGTGCACGCATCCCTTGGTTGCGGCCCGCAGTCCGCCCTCTTGCCTATTCTATGCACCACCCCCCGCCCCCGGTCCCTTACCTCCGCCCCCACGACCAGCGTCGACGCTCACCTTTTCGGCCCGGGCTGTCAAGGGAGGGCTCCCTGACATCACCCCGGCCTGCCTCCACCGCCGCCAACCCTCCCAACTCAGCTGGAGCCTGTCCACGCGACAATCAAGTCCGAGGCTGGAAACAGAAAGGCGGGGGTGGGGGGGAAGGGAGAAGCGCCAATCGCGCTGCCCTTCCCGGAAAACTCACTGCCACCTACTCCCCGTCGGCCGCAATCAGCAGCACAAAATGGCGACCAAGAGCAAGGAACCGGCGCTTCGACCACCATCCACCTACTGAGGGAGCGCGCTCTGGCCAGCCTTGTCTATTGGTCGCCGTCTGCCATCGGCCAGCCCTGGCCCACTCTGATTGGCAAGCATCTGCCACCTCCCCATTCCCTGTGCAAACGCCCACAAGTCGAGAAAAGGAGTAGCTATTGGCCAATTTGGCGAGGCCCACTTTTTAGAAGCTTTGCTTCCTTCAAAGATGAAAGACAAACGGAAGCTCCGCCCCTTCCCTTAGAGGGCAAGGGAAATTCGGTGCGATTGGCTGGGAACTGCATACAGCCAAATGTCACCGCCTTCTTCTCTGCAAGGAATGGAGCTGACCACTCAGGCAGAACTGCCATAACCTGATGGAGAGGATCGGAAAATAGTTGGTCCCTGAGGCCATGCTAGAGGGAGAGAAAGAGGGCTGCTCAGCGCCTCCCTTGCTTGAAAAAAATCCAGAGAGACTTGGGACCTATTTAGTGTGGTGGGGGCAAAGCGACAATTATCGCGCTGGGGCCAACTGCAGCTGCGCAGAGTCGCATTTCCGTCCCCGCCCCTGAGTGCCTGCAGAACAATCTGTCATGGCGGCTGGGCTGTTGAGTTTGTGCGCTCGCCGCCTTTTGGCAGTAGCGGCGACGCAAGGGCGCTTGGCTGCCCGGGTTCGCTGGGAATCCAGCTCCTCCAGGGCTGTGATCGCCCCGTCCGCTGTGGTGGGAAAGCGGGCACGGGAACCTACTATGCGCTGGCAGGAGGACCCAGATGTCGAGGACGAAAACCTCTATGAGAAGGTGAGAGGGAGGGGAAACGGGACGCCAAAAGGGTCAGTCGGGGACCAGCGGATGGAGCGCCATAGAGGACGTTCTTAGGCGGCTGAGGATTGCGCAGCTGGTGAAATCCTTGAAGACTTGGGAATTTTGCCTGGCTTCTTTTCCTCCTTTGTCCGGTGATATCTTCTGTTCAGGGCCATAGACTAGATTGGCCTTATTTTGCAGACAGGTACCAAACCTGAAGTGGGCAGTGCTCAAAACACTGAGAAGCAATATAGTATAACAATAATAATAAACACTGGTAGGACGTTTGCTCGGTGTCAGTGTTTTAAACAGTTTACATTACATTAACTCATCTAAATTCTCAAAACAACCCTATTTTGAAGTGGGTACTCTTGGTAAGCCCATTGTACAGACGAGGAACTTGAAGTACAGAGATATCAAGTGGGTTGCCCAAGTTCGCATAACTGAATGTGTGGCAGAACCGGTATTTGAACTTAGATCTACCAGGTCTGCTGTGCTCTCTTGATAGCAGAGCCTCTGAAATAAAAATGTCTGTGTTAGAATACAGGCACTGACAATTACTCGCCTGTGTGACCTTGGGCAAGTAACTTAACTCCTTGGTGCTTCAGTTTCGTTGTAAAATGGGGAAAGTATTAGGACACCTTCTAAAAAAATAAAATACTACACCTGCCTTGTGTAATTAAATGAGTCAAAATACTCAGAACAGCATCTGGCACTTAGTACTCAGCATTAGAAGGTGTTTATTATTGCCACTTTCCACCTCACTGGGATATTGTGAAATTTGTGTATGTGAAAAGGCCTGCCACATAAGAGGTGCTTCATCAATACTAACCTCTGGTTGAGGGGCTTGGATATATAGGATGCTTATTCATTCATTCATTCTGTAAATATGTATTGAGGGCCTGCTGTGTGCCAGGCACAGTTCAGGGCCCTAGGGGTTCAGCAGTGTGTTAATCATGTAAAGAAAGCCCTTGCTCTTATATGATAGTGGAGAACGCAGAAAATAAATATGTAAAATATTTGAAAATGGTAATGTAGAGTATGTAATTGATCATATAAGATAATGTGATACAGATGATCTAGGAACATGCTACTTTGATAAACTAATAAATGCTAGAAAGAATGTTAAGCAAGATAAGTGGACTGAGAGTGACTTGGGGGTAGGGAGTAATTTTATTAGGTTGAACCATAGGAAATTGCTAATATTCAACCATTTTTGACCTATGAAAATGGCAATTTTCTATAGTTCAACTTAATAGACGAGGTGACTAGGAAATGCCTCCTAAGGGAAGTGATGATGAAGCCAAAACTTTGAATGAGGAGGCAGATCCAGCCATGACTAGCTCTGGAAGGAAATGCTTTCCAGGCAGAGGGAACAACTAGTGCAAAAGTCCTGTGGTGGGAAGGAGCTTCACAAGTCCTAAGAACAGAATGAGAGGAATTTAGGGATGGAAGGGAGATTGGTCCAAGGTGAGATAAGAGGCCAGCTTTTGCAGGGCCAGCATAAGGCTTTGTGGAGCAGAAGGAAACCCTCACTGACTACTCCTTCTTCCACAGAACCCAGACTCCCACGGCTACGACAACGATCCTGTTGTGGACGTCTGGAACATGCGGATGGTCTTCTTCTTTGGCTTCTCCATTGTCTTGGTCCTTGGCACCACCTTTGTGGCTTATCTGCCTGACTACAGGTGCATGGGGTGTCTAAGAGAATGGGATGGGTGTGGGCAGAGGCAGGGGTGGAGGTTAAAGGGGACCCTGCCAGGAATCCTGTCCTGCACCAGTGAGGAATGGGGAGCTAAGGTGGGGATTGGTGTCTTGTGAGGCTCCCTCATGTCTCCCCCCACGCTGCTGCCTCCAGGATGCACGATTGGGCCCGCCGGGAAGCTGAGAGGCTTGTGAAATACCGAGAGGCCAATGGTCTCCCCATCATGGAATCCAACTGTTTTGACCCCAGCAAGATCCAGCTGCCAGAGGCTGAGGACTGACTGGTTGCTGAGTGGGGCTCAAGAAACACCACTTTCTCCACCCTCTGCCCGCCATTCTGCCTTCTCCTCAGAGCACCTAATTAAAGCGATTAAAAATCTGACTGGCTGGTGTTGATTTTGTTGTAAGGAGGATGTGGGAGTGGGGTTGTCAGGCCTTAAAAGGGCCACCAGTCTTTTCTGGGTGTTCTCATTATTGCTGTGTAACAAACACCCTAAAACTTAGTGGCTTAAAATGACAATTTAGTATTATCTTTCATGGTCCTATGGTTGACTGGCTCAGCTGAGTGGTTCTTGGGGTCAGACAGTGGCTGGTGCTGGAGTCATCTGAAAGCTCTGCTGGGCTGGATGTCCAAGATGGCTTCTTCACTCACATGCCTGGCACTTCATTCTTCTTCCAGGTAGCCTGTCTCTGCTGAAAGCTCCCTTCAGGTCCACCCTCTCCCAAGTTGTAACAACATAGGTTAGCTTTGTCTGGTTTGGGACTTCATATGAGTGCATCCATACATTTTTGTTCCTGGCTTCTTTCTTTTTTTAAATTTTATTTTATTGGGGAATTGGGGAAGGGGAACAGCCAAGTTGCTGTCCTCCAATCTTAGTTGTGGAGGGCGCATCTAGCTCAGCTCCAAGTCCAGTCACCATCTGGCTGCCCGTCGGCAGCTTGTGGCTGCTCAGCTCAAGGTGCCATGTTGTGTTCAATCTTAATTGCGGGTGGGCGTATCCCATCCCATGCGGGAGTCGAACCGGCAAACTTGTTGTTAGGAGCACATGCTCTCACCAGCTGAGCCATCCTGCCAACAGGCAGCTCAGCTCAGGTGCAGCTCACTGGCCCATGTGGGAATTGAACTGGTGACCCTGTTGTCCAGAACTTTCACTCTTAACTAACTGAGCCACTCAGCCAGCCCATCTTTCTTTTCTTTTTTTTAATATATTTTTTATTAGTTTCAGGTGTACAAAACAACGTAATAGACATTTACACCCCTCACAAAGCAATAACCCTCCCCAATCTACTACCCCTCTGACATAGTCTATAGCTGTTACAATACCATTGACTATATTCCCTATGCTGTACTCCACATCCTGTGACTATATATATTTAATAACTATAATAAATTTATTATAAATAATAAATATAAATAAATATAGTTGACATTCAATATTATTCTACTTTAGCTTCAGGTGTATAGCACAGTGGTTAGGCATTTACAGTCTATGAAGTGATTCCCCCTGATAAGTCCAGTTCCCATCTGACATCCTACATAATCTTTACAATGTTATCGATTATATTCCTCATACTGTATTTCACATGCCCGTGACTATTTTTTGACTACCAATTTGTACTTCCTAATCCCTTCACCTCCCCATCCCCAACCCCCTCCTATCTAGTAACCATCAGTTTTTTCTCTGTATCTCTGAGTCTATTTCTGTTTTGTTTGCTCGTTTATTCTGTTCTTTAGATTCCACATATAAGTGAGATCATATGGTATTAGTCTTTCTCAGTTTGACTTATTTCACTTAGTACCTGGCTTCTTTCATTCAACTTGGTGGTATGAGACAGGTCCATGGTGTTACACGATCAGTAGTTTGTCCATCCTAATAGCTGTGCTCTCTTCCATTGAACAGACCACACTTCATCTGTTTCAATGTCGATGGGCATTTTGGTAGTTTTCTGTTTGGAGCTATTCTTCTGTGATCATTCATATCTGTATATCTCTATATCTATCTATCTATCTATCTATCTATCTATCTATCTATCTATCTATCTACCTATCTTTTGATGGATATATGCACTCATTTCTCTTGGGCATATACCAAGGAATGGAATTGCTAAGCCATAAGGTAGATAGGTGATCAGCTTCAGTAAACCATGCCAATTTTCCAGTCTACACTTCCCCCATGGTGAATGCCACATCCTCACCATCACTCGTTGTCCATCTTTTTTTTGTAATAGCCATTCTGGTGAGTGACTGACCTTTAAAGGGCCACATTGGGATGAAAGGTGGCAGCTGAGTGGCTCCTGTGGGCTAGGCCCTGATAGTGCACCAGATACTGACATACCAGGATCTCTGTCCTCAGGAATTTCCCAGGATGAGTGTGGGGGCCAGTGTGCGTGGTCAGAGAACTTAATGTCTTCACTCTACTGTTTGATCCCAAGGGTATTTGAACCTTGATAGTTTGGACCTAGCTTTGCTCTGGCAACATACCAACCTTCATCTTTCAATCTGCTAGAGCATTTATTACGCACAAGGTCCAGTCAACAAGACAGTCCCTGTAGCAGACACTCAGTTCCCTGCCCATATGCCAGTGCCTTACTGCTCCAGTGTGCACTGGCCAACTGCCAGGGTCTGCATTTCTTCACTGGAGGGCTTCCTCTCAAGCTGCAGAAGGCTGACAGGCTAGAAAGGCCCGGAAATGAACACCCCCGGCAGCTGCCCTCAACCAAGGACCAATGAGAGCTGATCAGTAAGTACCCCTGCCCCCTTGCCTCCCAGATGGGACATCTCCAAGGTGGGTCCTTTCCACTGGCCCCCAGAATTCTGCAGCGGAAATACGCTCCAGGTGCCCACAGTGCTAAGTCGCTTAATAATGTTCTTCATTGGCTGCCTTCTCTTTGTCTCACTTTGGTACTTCCTCACTGTGCGACACATGCTTCCTGATATCACGTCCTGAATAAAACACTTGGCTTCAATCCTTGTTTCGGGGTCTGTTTCTGGAGGAACCCGAACTAAGACATTTTCTGTCCTCAGGGAGTTGACTTCAAGGCAGTGGGTAAGACAGAGTACACAAGCACAGAAATCAACAGGTGAGGTAAGTTCTACCAGAAGACCAGTGTGGGTGGAATGTTGTGCTTACTGGAATAACTGGAATCTTCTAGGAAAAGAATCGCTAGAGGTGAGGTTACAGAGTGGTCATAGGCCGTATCCCTAAGACCCCATGGGCCACAGTTAGAAGGAGTTTATATTTTACACACTACACAAAGTTCGCCAGAAGCTTATTGAAAACCCAGCTTAGCAAAGCCCGTTCCAGACGATTCTAGGCTGTCAAAAGGGGATTGCTTACCGTTTTTCTCATGGAATACCCAGGAAATAAAAACAAATCTTACCAGCTTCACAACAGCTATTACTGATAGACATAAGCACCACAAAATAAACTGAGAACAGCTGAAACTGTGAACTTTAAAATGAGGGAGAACTGATGGAAGAATCCAGTGTTCTCAACAAAACGTGAACCTACAAATTTTGATCCTAAAATATTAGACTTGGTGAAAACTGGCCACAAATAAAGCACAGAATGACAGAAAGCTATTCATTCAACACATATTTAGTGACTGCCTACTGGGAGCCAGGCACTTTTCTAGGCAGTGGGGAAGCAGCAGGGAACAAAAGATTAAAAACGTCCTGCCCTCATGGAGCTTATATTCTAGCAGAGGGAGACAGACGATAAACAAATCACATTATTTCTATGTTGGGAGGTAATAAGTATGCATCAGATTAAAAGTAAGGCCAGTAAGGGGGATCAGGAGTACAGGGTGGAAGAAGCTTGTATTTAAATAGGGTGGTCAGCTTAGGCTTTGTTGAAAGGCGATTTTTTTTTTTTTTTAGGAAAAAAGTCTGAGAGATGAGCTACACAGATGCAAGAGCATTTCTAGGAGAGGGAATAACCTGTATAGTCCCTGAAGCAAGAATGTGCCTGAGCTGCTCAGGGAGCAGCCTGAGGCCAAGGAGATATCTGGGGCAAAGTTATTATTGCTGAAATATGACACAGACAAGAAAACTGAACCATGGATTGAATTATCACTCTAAAAATTAACCCGAAAATGATTCATCCTGCTGAAAATAATTTCAGAAAAATGAAAATGTCCAAATTTGGCTTTGGGTGAACTGTACCACTGTATGGCATTGAAGAAGGAATTAAATTGGCTCAGAATTCACTCCAGGGCAAACTTTCTCAATGGAAATTCATCTGTATTGGTATAATTCCAATTGTAAATGGTAATATTTGTAAGCAGAGCCAATACATCAGAGGTCAACTGCATGTGAGTCAGAGGGGCGAACTCAGGGCCAACCAGGATCCAGGCAAGGCAGCTTGGCATTAACCATCATTTTTTTAAAAGATTTTATTGGGGAATTGGGGAAGGGGAACAGTGTTGGGGAATTGGGGAAGGGGAACAGCCAAGCTGTTGTCCTTCAATCTTAGTTGTGGAGGGCGCAGCTAGCTCAGCTCCAAATTCAGTCACCATCCGGCAGCCTGTTGGCAGCTCAGCTTGGGCGCAGCTCACTGGTCCATGTGGGAATCAAACCGGTGACTCTGTTGCTCAGAGCTCGTGCTCTTAACCAACTGAGCCACTCGGCTGCCCCTTAATTTTAAAAATTTTAAACTTTTAAACTAGAGTTGTAAGTGATTAAGCACTATCATTACTATATTACAGAATCTTACAGAAAACGCAATAACAGAAAAATTGCATACATATATATTTTTTGAGCTTTTCAAGGGATTTTATTTGTCCAGGCTTGTGAAAACTAAAACACAAAAGAAATTCTGACAGCTCCCTGATACCACAGAAGGACAAACCTGGATAGAGAGAATCTAAATAACCTGCCCATTCATGGTTGCTTAATAGGAAGAGCCGGAAAGAGCATTTCCTATGTTGGCCTCTTTGCTTCTTTAGCTACTCATCTGTGTCTAACTTGCCTAGAAGACTTAACATAAACTGAATTGTTCTTTGGTGCTCTTCCTAAAAGGCATGGTGGATTTTTTAGTATTAAGGTTTATTTTTAAAGTGGACTCCCTGCATTTTCCTATAGGTTGAGCTTAATGCCACCTTTGTCTTCTATAAAAAAAGAAAACGGAGGCTCAGAGAGTTTTCTTAATTCCTGCGGCAAGTTTTTGATAGAATCAGAATTACAATCCAAGATGTTTTCCTCTTCTTGTGTTATTTCTTTTCACACAATCACAGCTATTTTCTGGTTAAAAGTTAAAAAATTTTTAAAATCACACACGTGCGCACACGCAGGTAAAATTTCCCACACAGAGATTCAACTAGGGCGGTCTGAGTGAATGCCAATATCTAAGGGCTAGATGAGAAAACCAAAGTAGCCGCGCT